AATTATTTACTGGCAGAAGTCAAACTTTTATATCAAAAGTAATAAACTGTCAATAATTCAATTAACAACCCTGTCACATACACAAAAACAAAATGGACAATTCAAAATTTTTTCACCCGGGCCCATTTTAATCTCTCCAGTATTGAAACAACTCAGGGCTCCACCCTGTAAACCGAACTGTCAATATATTTTACTTGATCTAATTCTACATGCCATTATGCATTGGTTTTTCATTATTCAGTATATGTACATTGTACACATATGTACAGGGTTGGTCATGCAATGGGAAAACTGCATGTTATTCCTGAAAACCTACTAGATAACAAAAACAAACCACATCTAATGTTGTCATATACATTATACCATAACATGGGAATTGATTGGCTTTAATAAGATATACATCTATGTTACGTGTAGCATTTATAACATTTTCTTATTGCAATGTCGCAACAGTATACTCAAACCAGATTAAATTTAACCTTAACTGTGCTACTAGATGATATGGGACATAGGATAGATGATCTAGAGAAGAACATTGCTGATCTGATGACCCAAGCAGGAGTAGAGGAGGGAGAGAAGTAACCACAATGATACTCACTGTATTAGAGATTGACAATTTGGAACGTTGACTTTTAGAGTGTTAATATCAGTTCTGTTAATAACGTTGTGCGTCACCCAGTGTCACTCTAGGATGGAAAATATAACAGATATGCGGATTTTTGGGAGTCTTTTGAGAGCCCATGATTGGACTAAAGATGAGGAGGGTTTCCATCAACAATTCAAAGGATAATGGATATTTTACAACATATATAAAATTTAGAAATTTATCACTTATAGCACCCTTTTTAGGCAGTGTCATTAAGTATTAGAAAATCTAGTCTTAAATTATATGGTAGCCTAACTGTATTACACTGTTTTGTGTGGATTCATGTTATCATTTTGCATAATTTTCCATTTATTTCTAACTACAATAACTTTTTGACGCTGGCAAAATAAAAAACATGGTAGTACATGTAGTTGACATTCAAAACTTCACCATCATGAATTAATTGTGTTGAAACATCACAAAATATTTTTTATATATTTTATAAGATCATAATTCAGGTCTAGTGTCAAATGACCACAAAAGATGGAGTTACTGTGAATGTTAAATATGTTTTAAATCGTTTAAATTCTGGATAGCATTTCTTGCAATTCTTTAAATTGAAACTTACAATACTGATATAAATTGAAAATGTCTGTTTTATACTATTTGTAGACAGTGATGTGATTTTGGAAAATAGATTGAATATAGTAAACAATTTCACACATTATGTTCAGTTGATTTTTTGATATCCCATCCCATGATACATGTGTACATTCTAAAATGATATATAAATATGTTAAATAGTAAATAGCAATATAGGGCGTAACAGTAAGATGTCAAGTAGGAATTCCTGCTAAAATCAGAGATAGGGGAATATAATTATAAGTTACTTTGTTAAACACGGTGGTGTGCTGGCGGTTGAGTTTATGTTGCCACATCCTTCCTTTTTATTTTGAACGTATTTGCATTTTTGCCGAAATGGCCTTAAGTTTGGGAACAGGGTGAACGAGGTACAACGGAATGGACGCCAAAAAGTTCCAAACAAGCTCAAAGTTCTGGAGCAACTTCCTGTCCATCCGTTCGCATACATTTCCGTTATGCAGTTAAAGATATAGTCTGATGGTAAGAATGACTGCTTTGGCGTAGCTTTGTACATGATTGTGGAGGACTGAGGCTTTTAACATTATTAGAAGCTCGAAGTTCTATTGAGAACTCCTTGCCGTCAGAACACCATACATCCATGTCCGGAAAGATATGTCGGACTAACATTGTCACGTGGGTTCGTCAGAAAAGGCGTCATGAACGTTGGTGAACAGATCATAAAAGTTCCAACTACGTCCATTTAAATAGCCTGTTTGACTTCAAAGTTCAAGATCGTAATGAAAACTTATAGTTTAGTGTGACTAACCCTACTATCACACCAAACTAGTTCTCACTACGTTCTCGTAAACGGGCTAAACTGTTTACGAACGGATTGGACGTGCTAAGAACCGTATGGGGTCTATTTACAAACTTCATGAACATACATGCTTAAAATTTGCTCTTGGTCGTCTCGTTCTGCTGTTTCGAGCTGGGCGTACTACGAACGGAACTGTCGTACTTCAATCCTACTAGAGACGTTTTTACAAAGAGTTGAACCTTCTGAGAACGTATTAAAGACTGCTTGAATCATTTCAAAATTCGATGGCGACCATACCGTTCAGTAATCAGATCGTGTGACAACGTACTTCAAACGACATGACCTTCTAGACTAGGAACGTGATTGCCATACTTCGAGCCTACTAGAGACGTGTTATATGACGTTTTGCAATAGAATATCAATTGCAGTAAGTCTGCACACCGACGTGGTGCGACCTGAACGAACTGCGAATGAGATGGACGTATTGAAGACTGTTTATGAACGAAGTAGCTAATCATTTTAGGCATATTTTTCGCCCACAGCCAGATTTAGCCCGTTTAACGGCTTATTATAAGACTGGAAGGAACGGTTGAGAAATAGTTTGGTGTGATGGGGTGGGGGGGGGGGGGTAACGGATGTGACTAGAGGGCTGAGTCTGCGTGAGAAAGCATTGGCATTATTCAACGTCCCTTTCTAGAAACGTATTTCTAGTTGAGAAACAGAAAGATGGGATGAGTATCAGGATGGAAGGCCTGTAAAATCATGAAAAGTGAAATATATTTTTTGTACTGAACAGAATAATTATTTATACTTTGAAAAGTGAGGTTTCATGTACATAACAGGGGGATATATGATATCTTGCCTCGAACCCTCCAAGATATTTATATTTCCGTGAGGTAAAGCCCATATCCAAAACCTCCCATAACATAATAACCCTCATGTATCCCATGCCTACTGGAATTTCAGGTATATGTACGTAACATTCCGCGATAGGTCATGGTGTATCAAGGTAGCAGGGTTGATATTTTCATACGTTACGATAAATTATTTTTATTCAGAGAGGGGGTGGCCAATAAAACTTGATTATTTATAGGGTAAGGATTTATAGGACAAATAGGATGAGGTATATAGCTGCTGCCATCTTTATATCGACCCAAAACCTATGGATATTTCTCATTTTCTTTACCCATCCTTGCATAACCGAGTTCCGGGACATTCATTTGTATCCATTCGGGCCGCGCTCAATAACATTTAAGATGAATGTCTTCAAGATAATTAACTCATAAAACTTTAGATATGAACATTTTCACCATTTTTAAGAGGGTTTTCACTATTTTAAGGCTGGTATTGAGAATTTTCATATTAAAAGCTTTAAAATGAGTACTCAAAAAGTCAAATTATTGAATCTGAGCAGGCAGACTGTACCGTGCACCTCAGTAGGTGTGGGATACATCTGTCATGTACATAACCATAGAACGCATTATGGATGCTTTAAAAATTGAGGCCCGAGAAAGATTTTAGTGCCCAAACTCTGCTTCTCCTCACACAAATAGGTCAATTTAGTTAACAAACTAGTATTACTGGTCATTATCTTTTAATTTTGGGGCTATAACCAAAGGTCACTATATCTCGATTTTCAATTATTTTTAATGTAAAAAGTGGCCCATAGTTTGTTTAACATGCTTAGTATTTAGTCCACACTCCGGTTGCTGACAGGGTTCGAAGGCAAACACAGACTGTATACTAGTTCAGAGTAACTTTCGAAAACATATTTACTTGTCGCATACTTTTCCTCAAAGTGTCATATCAAACCTAGTTTGTAAACAGTCTATGTCGAAGAATTGATAGAGGCTTTGAAGAAAAAGGAGGAGGATGCCCGGGATAATGTTATGTCAATTGTGAACTCCCGCTAAAACGTTGAATGTGCTATTGCAAATATGCTCAGAATTGTTTGTTGTTTAAAAATGAGGTACGATAACAGCCGTCTCTTCGTACCTTACAAGGATGTATGATACTTGACAGTGGCCCAAATACATATTTAATAGTTAATTCACGATTTATGTTGAAAGAAATAGGTCGAGCCTTACATTTAACTATACCCTTCGCATTCGTTTTACTTCTTAAAGAGATCGAGTCTCCTAAAAACACAATTAGAGCAACCCCTGATTTTTTCGTGTTATTTGATGTAAAACAAGTTTGTTTATCAACTAACCAATGCTGGGGCTTGAATTAATTCGTTAACGGTATCAACTTGATGATCCTTCTAGCCATGAATTTCCACTTTCATCAGGAGAAATTCGAAATAAAATTTAAAAAGCCCGCTCAAATTTGCTCCAGTCTGATGGGCTTTTTTCTTTCAACAGATTGTTTTGGCTCGGAGAAGTTGTATCTATTACTTCTAAGGGGATAAAATATAGATAATTCCCAAAAAACATTGTATAAAGTTTAAGACTTATTGCGTTCAATTCTGACAGTTGGTTGTTCTGTTGATTTCCTCATTATGTACTGTGCTTATGATTTGGTCTCAAGATATATCTAAGGTATATATGATGTATTATGAGATTATATTGGGACATTACTCACAGCTACTGATTGTCCAGAAGAGAAATCTGTACGACTGGATCTCTTTAAGAGATCAGGTTAAAATTTGAGGATAGATATTTTGAGCTTTAATTTCGTTGCCTTTATTGGTAACCATGCAGCGAACTTCGGCCTTCATAACAAGATACGGCAATCATGTGTGGTCCAAATATATAGTTTTTCCAGACCCCCGCTCGTGAACTCCTCAAGGTTAAATACTTTCAAGGTTATGTCGTATGTGTCTTCCAATTAGCAAAATATATATTGGATATTTTAATAGCATGGGGACCATTGTAAAGTACTGTATCATATTTTATTAAGAGGCATGGCAGGAACACTTGCCTACTTTAAAAATAACTTCCATATTTGGACAGATATCTTAATTCGTTTTTACAAAATTTAGTTTTTAGAAAATAAAAGAGAAACATTTGTATTCCCTTTGAAAATGTTATATTCAACTTTTTACTCTCTATCGATCCTTAGCTGCAACACGCTCGTGCTTGTCAAATTAGAAAAATACATTTCCGCAAACCAGGTCGTTTCACTTTGTATAGATTTCTGTAAAAATTGAAAAAAGGTTTTGGAAAAGTCGCTAGTAACACTTTTGAGTAAGTAAACTGGACTCTACGACACGCGCTTAATGTTGAGAAAGTCAAATTCAAAAACCGCCACCAACTATAACCACTTTTTTAAATTTAATTTTAAGAACTCGACGAAATCTTTGAATAACTGAACATAAGAATATTACTGTGTAAATAATCCTGTTTTTAGTTTTACAATAGATACATGAGAAAGTATTTCATCAAACTGAAAAAATGTAAGTGCCACGTGATTCACTTTGCAATCCTCTAAAATCACAAGCGAGAATCCATTGAGGTTCCTAGTTAATTCAGAAAAGGGTCAATTTGTTAAAATCGCCGCTTTCACTTCTCAAGACAAAATGATCAATGGGAGCAATTCTTGACATTTTCGAAGACACTTTCATTTCCCATAATTTCTATAGTCACAACCACGTGTTCATTTTGTAAAACCTTTCCTTCAGTTGATTCGACCAAATGTTCTTTTGGTACAACAATTCGTTCACCCTGCGTAATCCTCTCTAAAGTTGGCGCCATCACTTGTTCATTTGGTACAACCATGCGTTTAGCTGGTTCAACAAATTGTCCCCTTGACACAACTATTTCTGTAGGTTCAACCATATTATAAGTTAGTACATTCACATTGTGCGACTTAACGAATAGTGTCTCAGCTGTACTTAGCGCATTTGTTTCAGATAATGTCCCAGCTTCCCTCGGTTCATTTGTTTTAGATAATGTTTCAGTTTTACTTCGCACATTTACTGTATGGTCTGCATCTTTATTTGTCGCATTTACTGTATAAACTGCATCTTTATTTTTCGCATTTCCTGTAGATATTGTCTCAGGCTTACTTATTGAATATTCTTCAGGCATTGAAATATTTTTCAAGTTTTTAAGTGTTGGGCGTTTTAACGCTCTTCTTCTTAGGATACAAATCATCATTCCTCCGATAAATCCGATCGTCATAAACACTATTCCAGAATAGCAGCACAAAATGCATATATTCACTAAACATATCAGCAAAAATCCCGTAAATGCAAGAAGTGAAAATAACGGTGTGAAGAAATGTCCTCCTTCTGATCCTACAGGGTTACAAAGTTTTCCCATCATCTCCTTGAGTTTACGAAATTGCAGTTGCAACATTTTGTTATAATCAATTCAAAGCTGTATTCCTTGATTTCAAAGAACTCGTTTTTTCTACGTCTAGCCCATTTGTTTTACATCCTAACAAAGCTATCTGCTAGCATACACGTATTACTTACTAGCCTATTTGATTTAGATTCTAACCACGATTTTTATGGTATTGACTGGTACTGTCAACACAGAATAAAATGACATCGTAGTGTCAACATTGAATGAATACGTAATTGTTATTTTATGTTCAAAAACGTCAGGTCAATAGTCTCAAGATGAGCTAACATAAAATGGTCTCAGGTCTCAAGTATTGCCAAATGTACTTTCCTCTCAAACATATTGTCACTGATTGTATATGTCGTCTTTTTCATATCACCACTGCTACTTATAAAAAATTATGTTTAAAACGCATTTGATGTTACATTTTAGACAAGGTATTAACATGTATTAACTCCGAACACTAGTCCCCACTTTTGATTATTTATAGCCTATATTGTAACTAGATCTTCCGTCACTCTTTTATCCATAAATGGTTTCTTTGAAAGAAGACACTTTAAAAAAGTTGTTTATAAAAACAGATTTCTGACAAACACTTCTTGAGTCGATTCACCGCAAATCCTTTCTATTGGCTTGCGATGCAGATCACTGGTCGATATCAAGGTAACTGCCGTCACCTTCGCATTCAAGATGGCGGACGAATATTGCCGATTTCAAACTTTCTAGTTTTCATCGAATAAACCACTTTAATGATATTTAACATATTGTTTTGATATTAGAACAAAACCAGGCTTATATGGCATGTACACTCTGGAGTATGATCATGTATGCCGTGCGTGGATGCCACATATCAACGATATCTTCCAACGCTTAAGGGAAGGTTACTGGAAGTGTGGAAATGATACGGTAACGGTCGTGTTGGTTTTCAAGATGGTGTGGTTACAGTGTAAAGTCTGTAATATTGATCTTTTGTTTCCAGCCAAAAGATGCACTTGATCTGTAAGTGAACGTTTTGTAGAACAACAAAGAAAAGTGTAGCTAGTTTGCTTGACCACACCTAGGAAAGGCATGTTAAAGAAGCTCCAGATACCAACTTTTCCTACCTGAAAGGGAATTTAATGGAAAGACTGGGGTTTTAATGTTTAAATCAATACGTTTTTCAATGGCATTAGATTCTCTATCATTCACATATCATGTTGTTACATTGGCAATATGTATGAAGATCGTCAACGTAACAAAAGCGAGGGACTAAATATGTGAATTGCGTCTTCGTTAATAATCCTAAACATAGAACCGCCTGCATATTCTCAAACTAGACTATCTTCATCTCTTATCTTATCTCTTATTAAATAATTCTCATCATTTATATATTCCTTAACTTTGAGCCAAATTATTGTCCACAACTTGACTTATAAGTGGTGTAGAATCGAGAAATAAAAATATTTTACCGAAAACGAAGCCCGGAAGTTCTTCCATCTTGTTACGCTGACGTCTCGTCAGCGTAACTACGTGGGTACCAGTGCCATTGGCAGTCTACCTCAAATCAAAACCAAAATCAAATTGAAAGCTGAATTATTGACCCTTTTCAACAGAGGTCAAGTTGGTCAATTTTTTCTTTAAAATCATCGCTACAAATGCCCGTGACCATGCCAGAAACAAATCAAATCTTTCTCTTGGCCTAGCAGTCACTTTTTGTCAAGTCATTCTCCAAGACATTGAGTTCCAAAACGAAAATACAAACTGTTCACTTTCGTTCTCTAGGTAACCACTCTGGATTTCTTTTAAACCCGGGACTGGGAATATGAAGAAAAATAAAATCAAACTAGGATACACAGATCACAATAATTATTATATTATTATTTTATTATCAATGGAGGGAAAATAAATCTAATAATAATAAACAGGTCAGGGGAAACGTCCAGAGCCACACAGGCTCATCAACACCATTTTCTCTAAAGATGCCACAGATTCCAAGAAAAACATCCGGGTAAACATCAAGGACAGACTGAAAAGGAGCGTGCGTGTTTGATGGAACGCCTAATATAAAACATTTAAATGTCACGCACATTTTAAAACTCTTAGTTTATTTTTAAATTCGTTTCAATTCATAAAAAATATTCTGATTGTTCACAGGAGGTATATTTGGTTCGTTTTATACAATTTATGTCAACATAAGATTGAAATACTACGTCGGCTGTGCTCTAGATATTCCCAAACCGCCCTGTATTTGTCTCATGACCACTCAAGAACGCCCCATCCTTGAAACATTTAATTTACCACACTAAGAATATGGCGTATAGGCTACCGATACATTTGAAAAACAATGTTTACTGAAGTTGTTCTAAAAATCCAAGATATCGATTAACTACTATAAATGTTGAAAGGAGACGCCGACACCAACCCTCAGATTATCTCATGTACAAAGTTTCTGGAAATCACACCCTGCTTATGTTTAGCAAATCTTTCAACGATGCTCTGGACGCATTGAAGACCATCTGCCTAGACCCTGTGTATTTACATATATAACAGAATGGAATATTATTTCTGCTAATATAAAATGATCTCAAGCCCTAACAGTTTCAAATTAAAAAATTATCCCTTGGCATCATCAAAATTTGAATCACATCCATCCACTGGTACTACTTGAGTTATCAAAGATTACGTTTTTTAAAGATAATAGCGGTCATTTTGAAATTCAGCGGCTATTGGCTTGGACATCTCTAATAAAAGTAAAGCTCCTTTGTCCCTAGGCATCAGCACACAACATTTTAATTAAATCCGTCGACTAGTATTTGAGTTATCAAAGGTTACATTTTTACGAAAATAAATGGCCGCCACGTTCGGCAGGATAATTAAAAGCAAAATCGAGTCTACTCAATAGCATGATCTTAGCATCATTCTGCATTTGAGAAGTTAAAAAGTTATTATTTTTTCAGAGTTTTGCCTCAGAGAAAGTCATTGTTGTCCCATTTTGTCTCAGAGAAAGTCAATGTTGTCCCATTTTGTCTCAGAGAAAGTCAATATTGTCCCATTTTGTCTCAGAGAAAGTCACTGTTGTCCCGTTTTGTCTCAGAGAAAGTCAATGTTGTCCCATTTTGTCTCAGAGAAAGTCAATGTTGTCCCATTTTGTCTCAGAGAAAGTCATTGTTGTCCCATTTTGTCTCAGAGAAAGTCAATTTTGTCCCATTTTGGCTCAGAGAAAGTCATTGATGTCCCATTTTGTCTCAGAAAGGTGTCATTGTTGTCCCGTTTTGCCTCAGAGAAAGTTAATGTTGTCCTGTTTTGTCTCAGAGAAAGTCAATGTTGTCCCATTTTGTCTCAGAGAAAGTCAATGTTGTCCCGTTTTGCCTCAGAGAAAGTAAATGTTGTCCTGTTTTGCCTCAGAGAAAGTCAATGTTGTCCCGTTTTGCCTTGTCCCGTTTTGCCTCAGAGAAAGTCAATGTTGTCCTGTTTTGTCTCAGAGAAAGTTAATGTTATCCCGTTTTGCCTCATAGTCAATGTTGTCCCGTTTTGCCTCAGAGAAAGTCAATGTTGTCCTGTTTTGTCTCAGAGAAAGTCATTGTTGTCCCATTTTGTCTCAGAGAAAGTCAATGTTGTCCCACTTTGTCTCAGAGAAAGTCAATGTTGTCCCATTTTGTCTCAGAAAGGTGTCATTGTTGTCCCGTTTTGCCTCAGAGAATGTCAATGTTGTCCCGTTTTGCCTCAGAGACAGTCACTGTTGCCCCGTTTTGCCTTAGAGGAAGTCACTGCTGCCCCGTTTTGCCTTAGAGACAGTCACTGTTATCCAATTTTGCCTCAGAGAATCAGCCATATATAAATCACATTTTCCCAAAATGCCCCTGTGTATACGTTCTCAGAATGGCGTCCGACACAGAAAGCTGTGAAGAGGTCATTCCAAAACACATCCACCCTTTACAATCGCTTAGTGCTCGGTACTTTTTTAGTAAATAAACATAGGGTTATAATAACAACTTCACGAAACATGGCAATGTCACTATGCTCCAGACATCACTTCTTTGACAAAATACTGTGATGTCTGAGGTCGAAACAGACGAATTGTACGACACCTTGTATTTTTGGACGTACACTAATTGAATACCCCCCGGGTTCAAACCTTTTTTAAAAACAACCAAAAGTACATGTAGCACATTTCCATAGTCCAGTGTAATGGACCCTACCTGTTTTAAAAGTAACACCAATGGCTATAAGTAGCAAATTAAAATAAACATGTCCAGTCTATCGCTATATTTTCATACATTTTTTAAAAGTAACAAAAATGGCTAAAAGTAACACATTTCCACCAAATAAACTGTATAGTCCATTGATAGATTTCCATACCGTTTATAAACTAACACAAAGGACAATAAAATAAACAGTGTCTAGGCTATCCATAGATTTCCATACCTTTGTGTTAGTTTTTTTTAAAAGTATATAAATCTATCGATAGGCTGGATATGTTTTTCTGGAAATGTGTTATTTTTGGCCTTTTGTGCTAGGTTTAAGGGTTAGATAAGTCTATCGATAGGCGTTTATTTTCTGGAAATGTCTTAATTTTGACCATTTGATTAAGTTTTTTAAAAAAGGTATACATCTATCGATAGAACGGACTTCGTTTATTTTCTTGAAATGTGCTACTTTTGGCCATTTATGTTAGTTTTAAAAAAGGTATGAAAATCTATCAATAGACTTGACCCCATTTATTTACTGGAAATGTGTTATGTTGGCCATTTATATTAGTCTTAAAAATGTGTTTTTCTGCAACTATCTTGTCTGTATTGATGGGGTCCCGTTCTATTTTTTCCATTTCGTCCAGAATGCCGTCATATACTATTTCATTCTAAGTCCGAATGTAGCACAAAATAAAACCGCAAAAACCGCTACCCTATATCGTGACATATTGTATACTTTTGAAGAAGAACCATAATTCTTCAAAGTTAGACTTTATTTATTGCTTTACTGATTCCTGTTTTGAATTTGACTCCATTAAACATCTCATTTCATAAGTTGCGCATTTTCAAAATGCTTATCTCACCATGTTTCAACTGAAGTGTTTGAATCATGGTGAAGAAGAGAGTTATTCTTTCGAATTATTCTTTAATATCAAAACGAAAAACAGTACTTTTATATGCAAATATGTTTGTCCCTATATCTTTACACTGATGGTTGAGACACATTTAGCTATGTTATCAAAAAGCTTTTGTGAAAATCATTTTGAATAAAATGTTCAAAGATTTTTAATTGAGTATTTCTATTCATATTTAATTCATTTTTGCTAGTCTACACATTTTTTTTATTTATATTACCCACCCTTAAGTTAAAAAAAACATTCTGTTGAAAAGGATACCCGTTTCTATTTTTATGATAATCTTGATAAAAGAAACTCAATATGTTAGAATTTAGTCACTATAAAAGGGGCCCAATGACATACGTTTTCATACTTTACTAATCCTCCTTAAAATACATCTTAAGAGTCAGTACGTTTCAAATGTTACATTCCCTTTTATAGCTCAATTTTCTTTTGACATGCAATATTCATACAAAGTATCTCTCATTGCAAGTCATGGGAAAATTGCATTCAAAATAAATCTTATGACTCAAATATAATTTTCAAGCACTGATACTGAACTTGTCATCTCTGATAGTGTTTTTATTCTTCAAATATAATCATTTAGGAGAGCGTTCAATACCCGTTAGTAGTAGTCCCTAAAAAGGATACATTTGTACTTCACAAAACGAATAGCAACAATTATTGAAACATGCAATGTACAACTGGATAATATCTTATCGAATTGACAATCAAATGCTCTGGGAACTGATATGAATACAGAACTATTACTGTTTTAGTAGCAGGAATGATACGAACATAGAAAACGTTGGGGCGAATAATTTTGATAATATTTAATTTTATTTAAATTTTGTCAATTCCAATTGATCAGGCTCGATCATAAATAATACATAATAAAATGCATAACATAATAGAATACTTTATAAATACATAAATTGTATAAATTGTAATTATATAAGGTACACTGTAAATAAAACTTCTTCTTAGACCAAGATGCATTTCAGTAAGTACATGTATGTGAGGTGAGCAACAAAACATTTCATTTTACTACAAAAAAGTTACTATATCCTTTGTACTAAGAACAAAGAGATCAGTTGTAAATGTAAAGTACTAGCCAAAGTAGATAGTAAGTGGATATACATGTACAGATATAAGAATAACCTTTGATAAAATATACAAATGTTCCACTTCATTAGTTACATGTAGGGTAGTTAAATATAGAACCCGAGGCCAAAACATTTATTTACATCAAAATACTTTTAGATGAAATATTCATTACATAAAAATGTTTCATAATTAAGTGTTTTCCAGACAGAAACCATTTGATTGACTGATTGATTATAATCATTGCTCCTTTAATATCTATTAAATTCTTCAAATAATACAATCATTAAGGTAAGCAATTAAGCGTGACCTACTTGTATTTTTAATTACATTAGGAGAGGTTTCGCACAACGTTTTTAGCTCAACGTATCTAAAATCCCTTACACATAACCAGATTTATGTGTAGTGGTTTGATTAAAACCAAATGGTGTAGCAGATATGATTTACCTTTAACCCACAAAACCTTTCTTTCATATCACTAATTTAAGTTAAAAAAATAACTAATGTTTCAGGTATATTTGAAGCAATTTATTCAACAAATAAATAGCAGTCAGTGTATTTGATTAGCTTTCTTCATGGGGACATGATTGATAAAAAGATGGTACTAGTGAACTGCATATCCTTAGAGCAGATATAAATAGACCAACAACTACATATACATATATGTATACTGCCATCTTTAACTTGACCTAATGCATATGATTTTCTGCTATTTGAATTGAAATGCATTTGTTATGATGTATGTACAGTAAACATATCTTACTTGCTTAAAGGATCTCGTTACACCAAAACAGATTGTGCAGAAATGCATTTCTACTATGAAGAACTTTAATAGGGACATCTGCCCTTCCATTCACTTGGTATACAACCTTATAGTGCGATGCACTTCAGCATAATGTAGAAATTAACATGTACCTAGAATTAAAGCACAAGTCGATTATCAAATACATTCAGGTGAAACAGAAGTGATTTTCGTACAGTATTCTTTTAGTGTTTTTCTGACCATTATGTCATTTGCAAGAAAAGGTGATCGCACATGGCTTATGAGTCCTGATCTCATGTTAGAGTAATATGTGAAATGTGAATCATTTTTAATGAATGACTATCCCTCCTAATATTATTCCAACACAGTCCCCAATATCAGCTGTTATTTTCTTCTGTGGCATTCAATTGTCAGTGTCCTTGTTAGGTTTTTTCAAAGAACCATAATCTGATATTTAAGTTTAACAGCTGCCGATATCTATGGATCTAAGTCAATCACTTAGAATGTTTTCAGAAACACTCAGTTCCATATATCAGCTGTAGCTTTCTTTTGTGGCATTCCAATGCCAGCGTCTTTGTTAGGTTTTCTCCTAAGAGCTTGTCTGACTAGTTTACGAGCATTCTCTATGTGCTCTATGAGTACTGGTTGGGCCATCATGTGCTGATGGATCTTTATAAAGAATGGTATAAAAGACAGGTACTCCACAAAGTCTATGTATCCTGAAATTAGAAAATAAGAGAAATATGAGATCTGTGTTTGTCAGTTTGGACGAATACTACGATGTACTATAATAGTTGATTACTAATGAATTAGTGTTCTACAAACAAACAAAAAATCAATTTGATCTATATTGTTGCGTGTAATATGTACTATACAAGGAAAGCACTATCATCTTTCTCTATAGTGTCATGTTTATTATGCACAAGCAAATCTTACCATTTTATGCTTTGCTAAAGCATAATGATGCTTTGCTAAAGCATAATGTCTAATTATTTGCACCAGGAAATCTACCACTTTGATATTTGTCCAAAGTGTCATGTATACCTGTATTATGCTCAAACAAAACTTACCACTTTGATCTTTGTCTATTGTGTTATGTATGATATCCACTAGTTCTTTATCTGTGCCAACAGCTTGGCCAAGTCCTGATGTCATAATCAACATAACATCCTTAATGCTCAGCCTGCCATGCATCTCTTGGTCAGCCAGTTGGAACATTTCCTTATATACTGTAATGTGGTATGATAATCTTGGCAGGTTTAACTCCAGGGGTTCATCCTTTGATGTTGTCCTAAAATAAAAAGGATTTCATTAAAGCATAATATGAATAAACTATTTTGCATGAGACTGCAAATTTCAAGGGGGTGTGCGATTATTTGGGTTTGCATCACTGCAAGCGAGGTGAGCCCCAAAAGAGGGGTACAGAGGAGTTTCACCCTGGACATTTTTTAAAACTTACATTTTATATGGTGCATTCTAAACATTTCAAACTATAATTTGTTAATATTTTTTCAACAAATTTTACAAAGTTGCATTTTTCTTTTTTTTGGGGGGGGGGACGCCCATGGACTGTATGCCAGCCATCCACTATAAGCATCCCTTAAAGGTATACATAATATAGATGACTCACTGATTTCATCATTCAGACCTAGACTATTCAAAGGTAAAACATAAAGCATCTTTGTTACACTTACATATGACCATTGAGTTTATCATTTAGTCCCAGCAATGTGACGAATTCTTCCTCATCTATCATCTGATCTTTGTTCAAGTCAAATGTCTGAAAATCAAAATAATTTTTTACAAAAATTGTATTTAAATAGTAAAATCAGCATTTGACTAATGGTGATTCAGGTTACAAATACAGTGCAGATTTGTTTTTGCAATTCAAATAATTTATTAGTTTGGCCTGTTTTGAATATATTTTGAAGCATCAAATTTGATTCTGAAAAACTTTTCAGAACAACAACATGAATATTTTAGATAATATGATAGAAAAGTTGAAACATTTTTATATTTTTTGATACGTGTCTTCATCAAAGGAGGTAAGAAATCAATGTATACATGGAATGGCATTAATTTACACAATAATCACACAAGACAATGAACTATTAGTCATCCTCATCTACAACAACTTAAGTCCTAAATGCATCCGTGGTTTCTGCAATACATGTTGGTAGTCATTCTTTGTTGTTTTATATATACTTTTGCTTAACAGGGCCAATAATGTTGAATTCACCCTCAGCCCTGTCATTTGTATGCTAATTTTGTAAATTGAAATAAAGAAACCATAAAATCTAAAACTAACAACTATCAATCCTAGCTATATTCTCAGTTTATCACGTATCCTTTCTCATCAACAACTAGAAAACAGCAACTCCACGGAGTAGCAAATCCCACCGAACAAAACATATTATACTTATTATAGCTAGTGTAAATGTTGAAATGTTTGTGCACTTTGTGATAGAAGCATGAAAGTTGGCACAAAGTTAGTTTATACCATTGTGAACTAGGCATCATCATATAAAATTTGAACCTAATCCGTTCACTGGTATATGAGTTATCAAAGATTACGTTTTTACGAAAATTGGCCGCCATCTTGAAATTCAGCCGCCATCTTGAAAATTATTTCTTGAACAGAGCTACTGTGTCCCTAGGCATAATCATATAAAATTTCAACCAAATCTGTTCGCTGGTATTTGAGTTATCAAAGATTACATCTTTTACGAAAAATTGCAGCCATTTTGAGAATAAGTGGCCATCTTGAAAAAATTTTGTCGAACATAGCTTCTGTGTCCCTAAGCATCAACCAAATCCGTTCACTGGTATTTGAGTTATCAAAGATTACATATTTTTATGAAAAATGGCCGCCATTTTGAAATTAAGTGGCCATCTTGAAAATCTCTTTTTGTGCGAAACTCCTTTGTCCCTAGGCATCAGCATATAGAATTTGAACCAAATCCGTCGACTTGTATTTGAGTTATCAACAATTACATTTTTTACGAAAAATGGCGGCCATTTTGAATTGAGTGGCCATATTGAAAATTCCTTCTCGAGCAGAGGTCCTTCACTCAGAAGGCAAAATTTGAACCAAATCCGTCAACTGGTATTGGAATTATCGCCCGGACACACGGACAAACGAATGGACGGACAGACGGCTTCTCTATATCCCCCTCGAACTTCGTTCGGTGGGATAAAAACTATGAGAATGTAAACAAGCAATACAAAGCTATAAGCGGTACCCTACAAGCAACACCATCATGATCGTGGGCATGCAAAATACCAACATTACACCAACATTAGTATTAGAATACTATATATTTACAAGTTAGTATTATATAAAAATCATAGCAATCTCCTAATAGCACCTACACCTAAAAATATCGATGCACACTGCCAAATACTCATAAAATCAAATTCTAAGCTCTATGCTGACACCAGAATGAGGAACAAGTAACAATGTTGGCATTAACAAAGCTTTGATATATAAGCAATGTGCATAAACATTGTACCCATACATGTACAATGTCACCCCTACATGTACAATGTCACCCATACATGTACGAGCATGCACCTATCTATGACTACAACAGCAGCAGCAGATTTCCCTTACCTCTTTACTCAATTTTAAACAATGCTATAAGAAAATTGGTTTTATTAGAGATACGGTATTGTTATCCAAAGAATTAATTGTCTTAAAAACGTGATAATCATGCATACATGTAATTATACATATAGATTCAGAGTGAAATTTATATATCCTGTCTTTATGCGTCTCTTCATAAAAAGTCAAAATGTGCCTTCATTCATTTACAAATATGCCTTCTTTAAATAATCCTTATCTTAAAGAACATCTGCATAAAGTATTCAAATTTCAATATATATTTTCAACATATATTGTAGATTTCAAACTGTACCTTCATAAAATAATCAAGATCCTCTTTGGTGGAGTTTGCAAACAGTTTTGTGGAGAGTTCCTCAGATGTAATTGAGCCGCTACCATCCATGTCCAACTCACGAAATTTTGCTAAGAAGGCCTCTCTTTGTAGATCAGATACAAAAGAATAGCCCTCCATTTCCTTATAAAAACAAATGAAATGAAAAATTGCAGCTTTAGAAACACAGTTTAATCATAAGTGTGTCTTTCTGTTGTACAGTGTTCTTAGGTAAGGATTGTGGAATTTCTCAGGAAATCTGTAAACTCGAATATGGCAATCTTCTCTCAGTTTGAATAGTTCAGCTCTAAATGGGAGCTTTATTAAGACCCTATTCAATATCTAGAGTCAAGTCAAGGTTCAAAATGTTAGCCGCAATGATTTACCTTAAGGCTATTCTTTAAATCCTGTTTTGGGTCAACCTTAGGTGCCAAATGTGATGTCTTCTTGCGAAATAGATCCCCAAGTTTGCTATCTTCCTTCATTTTTGCAAGTTCAGCAGCTGAGATATCACCTAGAAATAAATTTCTAAATTGAAATTTAACAGAAGAGACTGATTTGTTGGTACCCGAATTCCATTTTTTTGCTGCTATTCGAATAATTGCCCATAACCCTGTCACTCATTCATGCATATGGTAGATCGAATGTTGAAAAAATTTATTCTTATTCACTACGAAAATAGGCATAAAAAACAAATTGAGTACCTTTATACATATTTTGGTTTATAGTTGCATTTCCTTGTTGTAGCATATCCATGAGTCCTGCTAACTTGTGGGTTCCATCACCATCTTCATCATTAGGCCCTCCTCCCTTGTTACCTCCTTTGTTTGGATGACTGGAAGCTTGTTTTCCTTGCCCTTTGAGTTTATCATCACTATCACCAGCTGCATTTGTTTCGTCATCATTATTGCCATCATGTCTTGTAAAATCAAGCTTCATGGCGCTGCAGGCAAAATGTTCAATATAATTCCATTTATTCTCCTGACATGTATAGACTACTTAAAATTTCATCTCTTAACTCTACAATTTACATAACAATGTCCTGAATGTCTGAAAATAAAATGTGACTTTTAAACTTCTCTTATGTTCTTTTAATGTACCAATAAACTAAATGTTTATTCTTATATGTTTTTCATTGCACGAGTATCTTCTTTTTCTGTATCAAAGAACCAAACATGTACATTCTTATAGCTGGTATCCATGAACTGGTTGCTTAAATGTGTGAATGTTAATTTTGTCTCATGGTCACAACATTAAATTGCTATTTGGAAAGTTTAAAACTATAAATCTTTCAATTTAGAAATGTGGGTTTTCTCAAGAATAAGCAATTGATGTCTCAAAACAATTGAATATTTAAAAGCAAATATTTAATGACCTACATATCATGACCTTAATACATGTACGGATATTTCATTTGCATATTCAATAATTTGGAAAAATTATAGACAAATCAATTACATGACAGAATTTCATCTTGAAGTTTACTTTTAACAATTTGTTATAGATGCTGACATTTAATGCTAATACTCATCACAAAAACAGTAACATTAACAAAATGTCACCCTTTCATGAAAGTAACATTAAAATGAGATGATTGCAGACTTACGCTTGTTTTGAACAGTGTGCTTCTTCTTTAGCTATGGTAAATGGAGGCAGGAGAGGTTTAGATTCCACTTGATTATCAAGTTCATTTAGTCTATCAAGTAGGCCCTTATTAGCCTTACCATTGACTTCCAAATTATTTGGTTCATTTTGTCTTTCAAACAGTCCCTTGGCAGTACCATTGATTTCTAAATCTGTCTTTTTAAGATCACTGTACTGATTATCATAGTCATCATTGCTATCATTTTCAGCATTATTTACTTTATCATAAACTGCCTTTTTACTGTCAATCTTTGTCTTCAATTTGAGCCTGGTAAATAAATAATCATTTTCTAGAAAAGCTGAGTCAACAGCTCGGTGAATTAACTGTTGTGAGAACAAGAGTGTTAAAACATCATATTCTTAGAAAATTAAAGAAAGTTTAAGATACACTGTTGTAAAACTGTTATAAAACGTATCCTAGTAAACATCAGTAAAATTAAGAATTCATAATTGGTCAATCTATCTATTAGGAATAATGAATTTACATGAACTTGCATAGTATATTAAGACATTGTTAGATTCCATTGGTTGATTTTCAAATAAAGTTATATCTAGAAAGTATTTTAGCATTTGTAGGAAGACATTAAACATGTTCATTGTTAATATTTTTGAAGATATAGGTTGTAAATAGAACATGTTATAACAACTTGTCCTAAAATGTCAGTAGAATAGTTCACAGTTTTGAGATGAAGATTCTGATTTTGATGCATGGAAATATAGACTGGTTGAGAGTGATTTCAGAACTTATAGGTCATTGTTAAGTTGTGTATTATTTGGTTTATAAGACTTGTTTAGATTTCAGAACTTATAGGTCATTATAATTGCATGCAGATTATGTACTATTTGGTTTATAAGACTTATTGAGAATGATTTCAGAACTTATAGGTCATTATAATTGCATGCAGAGTTATGTATTATTTGGTTAGAATATATGCTCACCTATGTAATCATGGTACACATAGAATATCACAGTGAAACAATAAAAAACAATTTTACATTATTGAAGTTTGAAGTCAATTTTTATGCTTTGTGGTTTTACAGAAATTAAAATAATTGAATTATAGAAATATATTAAAATTAATTGAATTATAGAAGTAATTTCAAATCTAAATCTTGTGATCAAACAATGTTTTTAAGTGCACCTACAATTGTCTGACCTCAAAAGTTTACTCACTCTTTTTTAGTTAATTTTTGTGAATCTTTATTGATCAAGAAAACGGCCTGATGGGCATCAGCATCTGGAGCAGGAGTCGGAGCTGGTGCTGCGACAGTTTTAACACTTTGTGCAATATCCCTTTGTAGGAGGATGGCCTCTTTAACATCTGCGTTAGGGTCCCATCTATCAGTTTCCTCTTCAAGTGGTTCCTCTTCAACAGTTTCATTTTCTGGGGGTTTCCTCTGAGTATCATTTTCCGCTTGTTCTCTAGTGGTGTTGAACTCAACAGCAACACTGTCTACATCAGGATTGTCATTTTCATTTGTGCTGAGTATTTCAAGTTTTAGATCATCTTGGTTGCTAGGTAATAATCTTGGGGACTGATCATCTGGTTCTTGGCTACCTAAGTGATCACCTGCAACAGGAAACAAAGTTTTATAATAGGGTATCACTTGGACATTACCAATCACAAAAGGGTACTTTTTATGGAAATTCACATGCTACATTTCTTCAGAAAATTCAGTAAATTACACAAAAATGGGTATAGCTAGTTTACTTACGGGGTGTTTCTCCGGCAGCCCCTTCCGTCATAAACACTGACTCTACTTGCTCTTTATCTTGTTTTGTTGTCAAGGTGGCAAATGATGGGTGAGTCCCCATGGTAGCATTTTCATTACCCTAAAATATGAAAAAAATCTTGATCTGCTATGTATGATTTGATTGTCTATTTTTATTGAGATTAATGATGTTGTATGCTGTTAGGGTATTTAAAACATAGTAGCTGGGACAAAACAAGTCATCCCTTATATTATAACTTTTTCAATTCTCACTAATTTTTCATAGGATAAACTTTAATTTGCCCATCCTTTTTGAAAAGCTGTAATTATCATGAAATTTGATTATTACTCCCTGTATGTAAGGAAAGCTTTGAAGCTTATCCAGTGAAACTTTCACGAAAAATTATTGAGAATTGAAAAAGTTCTGTCTCAGCTTCTACATGTATATCAATTAAAAAAATTGTAATGACAAATATAACACAACCGTGCTAACAATGCATTATTACATGTTCAGGACAGATAAGTACATGTATCATGTAAAGTACAATTTAAGACCATGAATTAATGGACTTATTTGATCTCATGCAATATTTTGTAAAACAGGACCTGCTCATTGTTCTCAAAACGATCAGGCCTATATCAATTAAATTTGATAATTAGCTAAGTATCCACTAGTTCAATCAACAAGTTAAACCGAGTCTGGGCCTTATTTCTTACCTGACATCTCATGTGGCTCAACAATAATGACAATAACAGCTTTAAGAAAATTCAGATTAGTAATGAAAGCTGTATTTGGTTTAACTTGTTGAAGCATGTATCCACCAGTAATTCTTCAAATGAAATCAGTGTATACAAATTCATGCAGGGAACCAAAGTAAGTGCAAGTTGATTGTGTATGATGTTCAAAGTATTCATTCGAAGTGCATGTACATTTAAATTGTATTCTTGATATGTATGCATGCAATCAAAGGGGTCAAGAGTTTGAATTGATTTCAAATTGTAATAATGAAAAATGAGTTTGGGCAGGCATGCATGGAAAATCAGCGCTCTTAATCTCAAACAGTGCTTGAAAGAAGATACCATCACCAATCCAAAGTATACCTTTACCATGAATTAAAATATACAGAATTTTGTTTAATCATTTAAATGAGCCTTGAGTTTAGTCTCTAAAAACTTTTTTTGGCATAAAATTGTCTTGATTCTCCTCAAAGGGTGAAGTCTGGTCGAAGTCATTTCTAGATGATTTGTCGAAAAAATGTTAAAACAGCTGTGTTAAAAATAATTTGAGTCCACTCCTTGACAATTAAATCTCAGCCGTCTAACAAAGCATAAATTATCTTGATACAGTACACAAAATAGTGTTCATATTAGAAATAATCCCATTGGAGAAATGGACATTCTTATAAGTAACCGTGCCGGATTGGCACTAAATAGAAAAACATTCAATTTGTGGTTTCTTGAAAAGTATATCACATGGTATATTATGAGGGTTGGTGTTGGTATTTATACTAAAAGGAGGAGAAAGGTCTTTATGATAGCATTTCCCTTAATCACCTAAAGTAATAAATACACCAATATATAGAAATCACCAAAAATGAAATCTTTAGACTAAAATGCATGCATTTTCTCACCAGTACATCTGAATTGTTGAAACAAAACAGAAGCTATATCAGCTTTAGCCTAACAAAATGAAGACATGGAGTACAATATCTGCCAAACTTTATACGATTAAACTGAAACATTATGACTTGCTCTAAACATATGACAATACCTTAGCTTAGTTTTGGTTTACTTAAAACTTTGAACATGGTATGCAATGAAGTGTGCATAGGGTTTATAACTGGGGGTTTGAATTATATTTCGTTTCAAATTTTCCTCATTGTTTATAGAAGTTACATTTGCTTTGATTCACTAATTTAGAGTTCTCAATTAAAAAAGGACATTTACTAATTTCATAATACAATTTTTTTTTAAATTAACCCTTCACTTACCTGGTCATTATGGCTGTTTTGTTTGCTTGCAGCTTCTACAGACTCCCAGCTAGAGAGGGTTAATAGTGATAGTCAGTAGTCACAGACAGAGAGAGACAGAGTAGTAAAAGTTGAGAGTACAGTAGGGATGTAAGATGATTTGAATTAGAAATAAATATCAGGAGTTTTAGTGAAGTTTGGTACAAAATGTTGACAGTATAAGTGACAGATGGGAATGAATTTTATTTTTGTCAGTATTGAATTAATTAAGTGTTATATTTGTAAGATGGCAAATAGAGTATAGTATAACAAACACAGATTTTTAGTGATTTCATTTTATTTTTAATATTTTTTAGATAGAGAATATTTTGATTTTTACATTGAATAAAGAATTCAAAGATAGTGTTGAAATGAAGAATTGTTAAGAAATAAAAAAAAAAAAAAATGATTAGTAAAATACATTCTAAAAGTATTATTTCATAAACTGTAAATTGCTTTAGCTACATGTATGTACCCATTTTAATTTGGTAATTCAACAATTCTGAACAAAATTGCTATTGTAAATCTACACCAACTATCATGCTAATATGCTATAATCTGCTAATAATGTACAATGTTCAGAAAATGTTGAAAATGCCAAATTAAACTGTGCCAAATAAACCAATTTACTTTATTTAATCCTAAGATTCTATGATCATGTATGTATTCTTTACAATGGCCTTTTAATTATTTTTTTATTCTATTTTAAAGACCCATGATCAGAAATAACATTAGATTAATATGAGATACAAAATGACTAGATTGCACTAACTTTTATTGCACAAATGTATACATTTTATGTAAAAACATGTATGCACATATACATACAGGGTGTCAAATAAATATGTTCTCCCCTCTACTTTAACATCCACAAAATGTTGCAGAATTTTTTTGTCTGTATGACATTTGAATTGTTCTTTAGCACATTAAATCTAGGCTTCATGGAGCAACTCTACAAGAAGTTTCAGATGACTAGTTCAACTATATTCACTTTTATTCATAAAATATCATACTCTTGAAATCAAGGGGAACATATTTATTTGACACCCTGTATATAAAAGTGTATAAATATTGTCAAAATTGCACACATCTCTTAGTCATATATACATGTTAAGACATGTTGATCTTTAGTATAGCAACAGCTAAATACAAGAAAGCTAAAATTAGTTTTGGAGATGGTCCCTGAAAAATTAAACAAAATGCCTTTGTTGTGTTTGTATTTAGGAAATAAATGACAAGGTTGCTTTTACACTTAGGATTCATAAAGCTTCAAAAATATGGAAAATGCTTTAAAAGTGTGTAAAACATGTTAATTCATTCCAAAGGGATCAGGTCAAAATGTGATGTTTTTCTCTGCAAAAGTAACTCGAAGAAGGATAAGACCCCTCTTTTAAGTAGAACTATGTGGAGTGTAACATAAGATATATATGTATAATTATACAGTATATTATAATTGTCATAGAATATTTTAATATTTTAAATTTATTTTGCATAGAAATGGCATGGACATTTGACCCTCCCTTTGATCACATTTTGTGTTTATAGAAATACATTTATGCAAACACTGGTCTGTAAAGTCCCCATGGACCATCTCAAAACATGAATTAAAAAACAAAATTTCATATTTTGAGATGTTCCCTTGGTGTAATATCTATTTAGATCATCTCTTTTATTCCAAACTTTTTTGGAACATTTCCATCAACAGGTTTTGATGATCGTTTTTGATAGTACATATAATTATTTTCACCTTTTTGCATCAGGTAATCTTCCAAAGCTTTAAGGTTTGAAAGGTTGCACCAATCTGTATTCACAGATTGATGAAACGCAAGATGGCCTCGACGATTGAAAATATGTCTGTGGCGATATTCAATTTTCTCTTGAGCATAACTTGGTTGAGTCATCATGTATTGGGCTCTACGGAAAGGGGTATCTGGCCTGTATTCAATGTTATACACCGTAATCACAGGGGTAACAAATGGCACCTTATATGTGAAATAACTGTCAGGGTGAAGTGTCATTTGCTCCCCTTGCAGGGTTAAATTCTGGATTTGTTCTGGTGTCAGATTAGCTTGTTTAAATTGCTGTGTTTGGATATTTGAAGTCTCTTTGAGGGTAAGCGTGCCCTACATGCCTCTAGTTTCTCCTTATAGCACATAGTGCACAATTTACCTGTATGGCATACACTGCTTGGATGAAATGGACAAAACACAAGCTATAATTTTTAATGTTATTGTTGTTCCATGGGATATAATACAGTTTGACGAACCAGGCCCGTAGCCAGGTGGGGGGGGGGTTCGCTCGAACCCATCGAACCCCCTGGCCAAAAAATCTTTCAAAAGCATGCAGTTTTTCACCATTCTGAGCACATTTTAAGTGATTTTGAACCCCCTGGAATTTTTCAAAATGTGAACCCCCCCTTGGCAAATCCTGGCTACGGGCCTGACGCACAGACCCAGAAACTAGAGTGAATGATTGGTATTGTAAATGAATCAACATGCGTCTTGATTTGAAGCATTTTTAAGGCTGTGAATAAAACTACATAAGGTACATTATAAAGCATGTTGTAAAATAGGTTCATACCCAGGTTCCCCAACAAGATGTGTGTCACATTTTGAATTAACGGGGCACATGGTAGGCTAAAGGAGCAATATAAAATTAAAGCATTTTATGAAAAAACTCAGACTTACCCAATTCTTCCCTTCAGATGTGGCCTATATGACCTTGATCCCCGTGATGTCATTGAACGTAACCGTAACAACTCTTGTTCATCAATATCATATCTAGATTTTATAGGGAGCTGGTTACCGCTCATGTAATACATTCTGTCAACCCTGTGTGGTTTGATCTGAAATATTACACAAACTGCGCATTAATGATCTATTAATACGATCTATGTTTTGAGACATTGTTGCAGTTTATATGTTTAGTTATTGTCTATCAATTATCTGTAAAACATTAATCATCTCAAGGAGATAGGGGAGACTAGTTACATGGCAAAAGTAGCTTCTCCCTTGGGAGACAATGGGAGTAGCGATAATACTATGATTCACATGGCAGCACGCTTGACCAACTGACCAATGCTGATATTCTTAAATTTTGTAAAGCTTAAAATTCACTGTATGGACTTACCTCAGAAACCCTTTTTAAAGTGAGAGATCTATTTTTTAATTTTTGTTCTCCACTAAATCGTAAAGCTTGGTCACTCTTGTTCCAGTTTTCAGCATCATCCTCATCATAGTGTTGGGAGGACATTCTCTCTGAAGGCACTGAGTTCTGCATATAATATAAAGAAAGTGAGTAAATACTACGTAACATAAAAATAAAATAACAAAAAAAATATTTGTTATAAAGTATTTGTAGCAGAGGCACTGTTTTCTGCATATAACATACAAGTACAGTAAGTATGTAAATTTTTTTTTTCTTTTTTTTTTTATTATTCATCTATACTTTACATTTACATATACTTTACATATCTAGGCCTGACATCCTTTTGGATGTATGTAGCCTTTCTTATATAAGTATTCAAATAAACAGTTGATGCTTGAACATTAAACATTTAATAAACAAGAAGAAGAAACGAGAGAGAAAGGGAAAGAGAAAAATAGAAAGTTGCAGGGTTTGCATAGCATATGGTATTTACATACATCCGAAGTTAAATTAGGTTTATGGGGCTCTTTCATTTGCATTAATAGTTATAAGTCTACACCATCAAGATTAGAATTTAATGTTAACTTCTATGATTTTTTATGAGTAATTCTTTATAATCCGATTTGAATTTATTTCTGCTGTTAATTTCTCTAATGGAGTTTGGGAGTTCATTCCATATAATTTGGCCTCTATGTTTGATGGATTTTTGACCAAATACTGATTTAAAATTATTGGACCTGAGATCAAATTTGTTTCTTGTATCTCTTTTATGGACTGCTATTTGCTATAAAATAATCATTGAACATGCTGATAGGGAATTCCTTTGGTCTTTTGATACAATTAAATACAAACAAGGCAGCATTGAGTTTATAAACTTCGAACACGTCAATAAATCTATAATTCTTAAAGAGGGGTGCTGAGGGTGTATCTTTGGCACTATGTGATATAAGTCTCAGAAACTGTTTCTGTACCTTTAAAATCATACCCATTAATCGTTTGGTTGCAGTTCCCCATGCAAGAATACAATAACTTAAGTGACTATTTATAAGCGAATAATAAATTGATTTCAGAGATTCAAAATTTAATCTGTTGTGTACCTTAAATAAAACACCCAGTGTTTGTGAAATCTTCACAGTGATATGTTTGATATGACTTTCTCATGAGAGGTTATCATCGATTATTACACCAAGAAAGTTAGTTTTGTTAATTCGTTCAATACTACTGTTCCTTATATTTATTTTCAAAAGGTGCGATTCATTTTGAGTGAGTTTGCGATGTGAAAAACATGAATTTAGTTTTGTCAATATTGAGCGAGAGTTTGTTCACCCTTTACCAGTCATCTAAAATGTCTAGATCATTGTTAATATGATTAACTAATTCGTTTAAATTTTTACCAGAAGCAAGTCAATTTGTGTCATCAGCAAAAATTATAAGCTTTAGAAAAGAAGTTGTTTTCACAATATCATTAATATAAATGAGAAATAATATAGGTCCTAGAATCGACCCTTGTGGTACACCGCGTGATATCTGGATAGGATGTGATACACAATTATCATACTCCGTCGATTGAGTTCTATTATTCAAGTAACTTGCAAACCAGTTATGAGCGATACCCCTTATTCCGTAGAAATGTAATTTCTCCAAAAGAATCTCATGGTTTACAGTGTCAAAGGCTTTCGATAAGTCTATAAATATTGCAATATTAAATTTTTTATCAATAAGTGATGAACGAAGTGATTCCAGAAACTTCAAAAGTGCCATATATGTTGATCTGTTTTTTCTGAAACCAAACTGTTGTTCACAAAATATTTTAAATTTTTCCAAAAAATCAACAATACAATCAACAATTACAATACATAAATAAAATACTTGCATGTAAAGTATATGTGAGAGAGCATTCCCTCTGAGGGAACAAAGTTTTTACATATTGCATGTGTAAACAAGACCACTAACATGAAAAGAAGACCACTAACATAACAAAATGTCACCAGCTGCATATGGTTACAAATGTGTAACAATTGTTACACAGGCTGAAAGCTGATGACAATTTAAATGACTGCCAGATGCTAGACTCACTAGAAATGTAGCTTATAATAAACATATACTGTATATTTATTATTGGGACCAGCCAAAAGTGTTAAGATTGGCAGGTGTTCATGTTTCAAAGTTTTTTACATGGAAGTCTATATAGCAGAATAAACAAGGCATTAACATGACAAAATGTCACCACCGAGTTGCTCACAATATTATGAGTTCAATTTTAAGTAAGATTTTAAGTAACCTTTTTTGAACCCGAGAAGGTCATTGGAGGTAAAATCTCAAATCTAAAGTCAGATTTGAATGTCTAAGAACTTGTAGATGATTTTGAAAATAATTTGGTCAATTTGAAGAAAGATGAACAAAAACCTTTTTGACCTTGAGAAGGTCATTGAAGGTAAAATATTTTTTGACCTCAAGAAAGTCAAATCTATAGCCAGATTTGAAACTTGTAGATGATTTTGAAAAAAATGAAGTCAGTCTAAACAGTATTTGTTAAGTTATTGGAAGTTGTAAGAAATTGTTACAGACGCTGATCACCAACCACCAACCGCCATCAGCCGTCAACAAAAACCGAGACCATAACAATATGTCACCACTTTTTGGTGGTGACATAAAAATGGAACCAAAAAGAGTTCAAATCAAAGGTGTTTAAACCAGAAAGGTGTTCAGATACACTACACATGTAACATCATTTCTCAGAGGTGACATAAAAATTGAATGTTTTGAGAATATCCATTATACAGTATTCAAAATTTCATAAATAATTATCTACCTCCTTGGACTCTAGGGGCCAAGCAACGGAGGTTCTATAAATTAGGTTATGAGAAATTCAAGGTAGCCCCTTGACCTTAGACATCAATTATCTAATTGCCAACACAGTAGTTAGCAAACAAACCGACTTCCTGAACATGTAACATGTAGTGCTATAATATATTACTCAAACATTACATGTTGAAAATTGATCTAGAATTTAAGCATCCAAATATTGTGTCTGTGTTAACCTTGGTAAAGCAAATATTTGTTAACGACAAATAGAATAATGGATGGCTTTCACAACATATTCAGACCATTTAGAACGATTCTGAATAGATTTGATTTGGATATGCTATGCTGGCACTTCTGATTTAATTGAATTCTCTTTGAAGAATTCTTAAATACAAATTCAACAAAAATTCTTATCAGATTATTTCATACAAAAACTCTTTTAGTGATTTTTAAGCCATTGTAAGTGTTTACATATAGACAACTTGAATCAAGAAGTTGTTGTAAACATATTGCATTTGCAATACACGTTCAATACTTTCCGAATCTGTTTCTGCAAGTCATAATATCCATGAGCTACAGGTTTAAACATCCGTCAGCATGAATTTCATGAAATTAATATTATAATATTTTCCAAGTTAAATCATAGATTAGTCAATTTTCTGAATTTACAGTATAGTAAAACCTGTCTTAGTGAACACCTCTCTCTAGTGAACACCCTTCCTCGTCACATAGTCTACCATCCTCCAAACGCAGGGTCCCAGACATCATCCACATCATGGACGAAGGAGGTACGAGTTCTGGAGGCCTATGTTCGGAGGATGATAGTCTACTGACTTTGGTATAAATAACCCTCTTTGTGGTGAAAAACACCTACCAACATTGAACATTTTTCTAGACAAAAAAGTTCAATACATACAGACATGACAGAGGTTTTATTGTAATTATACATAACTTGTAAATACTTAAAACTAAATAACTTTATGAACAGTATAACATACCAGTGACAGTATAGGAACATACCAATGAGATATAGCTCGCTAAAAATGGCAGTAAACAAAATACAATAGAAAGCATTTACGAATTTTAGAATTTGAAAATGACTGTTTACCTAAAGTAACAAATCTATTGGCACCCTGTGGAGAATTAATTGGAACATCATGAAATATGAGATTATTTTGGTCAATCAGACAAGTAAGAAGTCCTTGTCAGGTAAAATCTAAGTGAGAATTTTGAAAAGAAGAAAAAACATCATGGAAAGACTGTATAAGTTTTATTTTTCATTTCATTGTTTTCCTGTAAATTCATTTTACAGTTTTCTGTTAATACTTGTCTATTTTTGAATATTGACATGATTTCACATGCCTCCTTCAAAATTCATTCCAAAAAAAAGTTTTAAAGTCTTACCAGATATTGTCTTTCAGAACAGAGAGACATGGTTTTTAAGTTGCGAGCTGAGTTTGGAGTTGGTACCTTCCCTGAAACTAGAGGCAATGGGACCTTCTTCATCCTGGATGAAGACCTACAATTGTATGGAAGATAATGGTAAAAGCTATCAACTTAAAGCCAATCTGCTAAATGATAATATCAATGAAATTTTGCCCATTTAAATGTCTCTGAATATTATATGTGAATGTACCTGTTATACATTGTGATTGTATTTTGACTTAATGGTAACTACATTATGGATTTATCAATATACATGTAATCAAAAAAAACAAAGTGCAGCAGTTAATAGTTTACTGCACCTCAAGCAAAAAGCAGCAAACACACACATTTGGTAAACACATTTACCAACAATTATGGAATTTTTGTCAACTTAAACAAAAATGAGATTTTTAGTATATCCAGACATGATAGGATCTAGGAACCAATTACTAAGCATGTTTTGCAATTTTATCTCCAAGGAAATAATCTGTTGAACGGAATACGAAAGCAGAATACCATTTTGAACAGAATACTCAATTAGCCAGGTGCCAGCCAATGAATCGGAGTAAATGTGACCCACCCGCAGGCATAAGATATGTCTTTCAACTGTTGCATGCAGTTTAATGTAAGGACATAGTTTCCTGTTAAATGTTTGTTATTGATGTAGACGCACCTAACATCATATATGTTAGAGTGCTGCTGTTTTAAAAGCATATGTCTAAATAAATATAAATATCTAAGGACATGATATTTTGCAACTCTTGTCAATTCAACCCAATACCATCATGTTTATTTATAAGCCTAAGAGCATAGTGTTAAGCTTGGCTCAAAAATGATCATTTTAAATTAATCAATAGTGACTTTATGTATTTATCTAGCAAGGCATTGATTCCAACAAGTTTACAATAAGCTAAGAATGTCAGATATTGGATTTCTACTAGTCCAGCAAAGCAAAGCTTAATTCCATTTAAAGGCATTATGTGAAAAAGTACCTGAATGCGTTGTTTGACCTACAGTTGGAATTGAAATACAGAATATGAAAATTATTTCTCATATTCAAAAGTGATCCATTAGAAATTGAAAATACTTTTTAAGTGTCTATAAAAATGAAAAGTGTCAAATCAAATGTGTTTTGATTGTATAAGAACTATAAGTTTTAAAAGGAAAATGTATATACATAGAGAAATGGTCGAATAGTTCAAACAAATATTTTGGGGGAATCAAACAATAATGCTCATTAAACTCTATAGAGTAAGGTGATAACAAAAACTTACGCGAATGATAATGGGGTGATTGACCTATGCACATTTCCATCATCAGTATTTGGCACTGGACTTATCTGAAGCAAAGAAAACAAATAAAATAGGCTATAACATCTTTTGAAAATATAAAATCAACTTGATCAACTGGTAAAATTTGAACTACAGTATTGGTTTATTGTATATGTAACTAAATATTATTGCATTTTGCATTCCAAGACTTCAAGTTTGATTCTGATTCTGAATTGTGAATAAATATTTAATTTATCAAGCAATTCCGGATATCGTATTAGAATGTTTGAAATGTCACTGACAGGTCATAATTAGTTCATCATGCCAAATGAATACAAGGCATTACATGCAAAATGTCACCATCAGCTACTAGTATTTGTTACAGATGCCAAACACCAAGTGCCATGCCACTGTCACAAAAACGGAGACTATAACAATAAGTCAACACTTTTGGTGACCACTTCAGAATGACCTGTTAGTTGCATCAACAACAAATATTTACCTCTTAAAGAACAGTAAAACCTGTGTAAGTGGAACACCTTTTGAACCTCTGAAAAGTGTTCCGTTTTGGAAGTGTTCTACATTAAGTCAGGTGTTTGGTCTTGGACTCAGAAAAGTGTTCCACTTACAGAGGTGTTCCACTTTACAGATTTCACCGTATTGAAGTTTCAAAATAATGCTCATCTAGTTAGTGAATTAGCCACGAGAGATAGGTCAAAAGTGTGCTCCCATGGTCAAGACTGAGGCCACTAGAGCTTGTTCTTGATAAATAAAATTGTTTTGAGCTGATAATTAAATATAATTAACTTACTGGAACTATTACATCCCTAATATAGTCATTTGTTACATATGATTGAGAAGCAGAATCTGCATTCTGTGGTAATATTTTCCTAGGTGAAAGTTTATCTCGTAATTGGTTTGAACGATTGGCATGTATTGGCATTGGAGATCGTAGAGCATTTGTAGATTTGAGGCGTATCCCCAGCTTATTAGCATGATTGATATTGTCCAGGCCAGGGTTAATAACCTTCTTGTATACAAGTTCTGTTCCATGGATATCTGAAGTGGAAGAATACAATTGTGACAAATTTTAATACATGTACTTTTTCTTACGGTAAAATTAAAATATTCATGTTTGTGAAAACTTCCACCATCCTCCAACAATGTGGTTTCTGGTGATTTTCACCTGATGCCAATGGTATTCCCAACAATAACATGTGCCCAAGAAGGTCCTCACACAGATGCCAGAATTTTTTATAATAAAATCCCATTAGAGTCCATTTCACTGCTTCATTTCGTCAGTAGAACGGCAAAAATAAGAAATTGGGAGACCATTGTGCAATAATATATGGAAAAGTATATTCATAATGTACATGAATGACATTTGTATATCTTGGATTGCTTCTAGTTTGGCTTATAAAGTGTGTGGCCTCTTATATTTGGATGTTTCTTTGCCATGTTATTTTCAATAAGATTAACATGGCTGAAATTCTTCAAATTACAAGACGACACAGGCTTATTGCACAAAAAACTAAAAAATCTGAAATATACAAATGTCATTATGTACATTATGAATATACTTTTCCATATATTATTGCACAATGGTCTCCCAATTTCTTATTTTTGCCGTTCTACTGACGAAATGAAGCAGTGAAATGGACTCCAGTCTAGATTTATTCCAAGATAAATTCTGCCATCTGTGGGTCCTCAATCTGCCTCAGTTATTTCACAGTGTATATCTACGTACACATGTATTCATGCATTCAGAAAGTGTGGCAGAAAAACACAGACACATCAAAATCTTTTAATTATTAATCATCGAAGAACCAGCAAGGAATATCACGATACTTAAGTATTTTAATTTTGTTTACTTTTTTCTTTTTTTAAATTTAGAAAAAAACTAAAAAATCAAAAAGTGCTATCATGAACTCGTCTATTTTCTAAGATATTGCAGTTACTTACCCATTTCGAAAAAAATATTAATGTAGTGGTTGTTGAAGAATAACTGGTTTGTTTATGGTATCATCGGGAACTGCTTTAGCATTGAACCACAGAAAATATTCAAGTTTGTGAAAACTTCCGCCATCTTTCAACAATGTGGTTGCTGGTGACGTCATATCCCGGAGACGGTACGTGCACTAAACGAAAATAAAATTATCCCGGGGTGAAATAGTGTTTGGATTCCAATCAATAGCTAATTAGGATATTGTTCTTTCAAACCTAGTTAGAGAATAGCAGGCCATGGATAGAAGCTGATTTGGATATCAACAAGGGCAGGGAAGCTAAATAATGTTTTGAAAAATTATATGTATCCATTACCAGGATTTAATGGATAAGTTAAACCCATTTCCCACAAATGTGATGCAAGAAATGGATCCACATTTTAAATCTTATAACTAATCACCATGGTTTTTACTTGTGCCGCTTATTCCTCTTATTGCCTCTAATTCTTATTTGCCCACAATTTCCTCAAATAAATTCTAAAAGTAAAGCATTGATTGGGAAAAATGTGTTATAAATTGAGGGAATTTATATTCATTTTGTGGAAAAGTTTTTAAGATATTACAATTAAAAATTAAATTAAGTTCGCACCAAGGCCCAATGTCCATAGTGACTGGGTCAACAAAGAGAATACGTATATGAATGGACATAGACAGACCACTACTGCCATCTATATGTTGAGCTACTTGTAGTTCCTTTGCAAACAAGGAGGATTGGCTCCTGAGGGTCCATCTCGACATTCTGCCATATATAGGGTTGAGTTGTGATTACGAAATTCAAAATCAAGCAGCTGCCATTTTTTCACTTCAAAATCCATAACGCTAATTTTGGTCATATTTCCAGAAAAAATTTTTAATACAGAAGTGATCAAAATATTGCAGTAGTTCAAATCTTTTAGATCAATGATTATGCATCAATAGTCCATACAACATATTTATAAAAATACTGACATTCTCAATGTCATCGATCAAGATCAAGGTCGAATATCCAGTTGGAGGTCTAGAAGACAATCCTCTTGGTATGGAAGATCTTTGTACAACATCTTTGTATTTTTATTAGTTGGGATTTATCATGGCACATCACAAGATGCCAAAAATGTTCACTCATAAATCATCCATTTTTCTCCTCATATTCAGAATACAAATTATAAATCATATCAAATTTATTCTATATTTATTAACAATACAATCACATTACACTAGCAATATGTATATAAAATGAATGTACACAATTTTATAAGTAAAATGTATCTCCTGATAATGCCTTTTAAAGATCAATCTCAAGGGTTCAAGCGCTGAATTCCCATTCGACTTCATACAAAGGTCAAAAGGCAGGAAAAACATCTTAACAAGGCTTAAAATATTGAATACAAACATTAGTGTAGATAAAATATCAATATAAATAATCAGAGGTAAACTATATTATAATATCTGATTCTATCTTTACTGACTATGCTATACAGTTACTTTGTATATCAAAGTAAATAAATTCAAATGTGGGCTTTCAAGAGAAAATTCCATGTTCAAACAGAGACATGTGTCATATAATTAAATAGTCCCATAAAAATTCAGGTACTGTGTTAACAGTGAGTTATAAGATGATGAATGCTAATTCATCTAACTTTACAGTGATCATGGGATATATCTGTTATTCACTGGTCTGGATACCATATATACATTTGGTCACTACATTTGCTTGATTAATATCAAGAATTTTCCTTGTGATATTCCCTGTAAATAATCCCTCTTAGTGTAAAAAGCAGAGTATAAGCAAACAGTAATCAGGCCAGCTGATATTGAGTAATTACCCTGTCTATATGATACAGTCTAACACAACACCTCAAGAAAAACATAGTCCAAGTAATTGAACTGAGGATCAATTCGAGGTAGTTCTTGAGAATGAGTGTCAGACTGAATTTATGTGCATGTATGTAACATTTTGCATATTGCATTGAAAATCTTATACATTTTTAATTTTGTGTATTTTATTCAGTATGTGCAAAAATTGCATTAAGAGTCCCAAAGTATTCCAAAGTGCGTAATACAATTTCATTTTATTGAACAAGTCAATCACTGGGCAACCATTAAGATTTAGAATCTGGAATCAACCATGTTAGGACCTCCTCTGGATGGCTTTGCAAATGAGGTCAATTTGCCGCTTGCTATAACCAACCTTTTCAAACTCCTGAAACAGTATATAATACAGTTACATAATTTTAATAACATTTCAGTGTTCTGTATGGACAAACTGAAATTTGTCTCACAAAGAAATAGTTTCTCAGTCCGAAATTGATTGAACAAGGCCAATCACTATTCACCACGTAAGAACTTGAGAGTCTTGCGGAGGAGGTCAATTTGAAGCTTGCTTAAACCTATCTTTTCACATTCCTGAAATATATATATTAAGGTTAAGTCAAAATAAGATCAACTATGTTTTTTAGAGTCGATAATCAACATGCATATTGGTTTTTCGTTACTTCAACTAATGCCTTACTACTGTGGTAAAATAAGTGGACAGTTTATTGTTAGGTTAGCCTATGTGGATCTTATGGTCAAAAACAGTTGAACATCTGGAGACTGAGGCTATATCTGAGGTACTGAGCAAGAACATGATTATCACTTTCTAGTATGTTTCAAAATCTCACTGAAGCAAAAACAAAAAGGGCATTCATACCACTAATATCCAAGCATCTCTCTGGACAATACAATTTGACGATTTCTTTCAGTTTCTTTATTCTTTCATTGACTTTATGATAAAAACCTTTAAATATGTGAACTCAGGATATTCTGAGTGGCATTTTGGATAAGTCCTGTTTCCATACTTACATTATTGAAGTCCTGAAGCTTTCCAAAGCCAGCCACATAACCATTGGCTCTGGCTGCGGCATGTGACTTAACTAAATCTTCCCCATCTAGGCCGAGGCTATCAAACAAATCTCTACTGTTACGCAGCATGTATTTCTGATGGTAACTGGAAATTAAATTTAATTTCATAGATGAACAGTGATTTTTTAGGATAGTGTAGCATAAGACTGAAGGCCGATAGAAATAATTTTTTAATAATCAGTTTGTGTTTATTTATACTGCTGCTGCCATCTTTGTATTAGCCCAAAACCTATGTATAGTTACTATTTTCAACTGAACGTGCAATTATCGAAATCGTTGTTCCCTCTTCAAAAGAGAAGACGCGAAAATCTTTCCTTATAAGGGCAAAATATTTCCCATGATGCAGTTCGCGGAGGAACAAATTTATACTTCCTTATTTTCCCTCATAGGTTTAACATGGGGATTTTCACACCTATTTTTCAAACGATATATTCGTTCATATTCCCGTACGAGAGTACAGAAAAAATTATTAGAAACGATTGATCTCTCATTAATCTTAATATAACAGCTATTTTTTTCATTGTATTAATTCATAGAGTGGTGAAAACGATGATTGAAAAGTGAGAAAATATTCCAAAAGAGAAGGTCACGTGATCAGTAGACTAGTCGCCATATTGGAAAAAACAATTCCATTCGACTTTTAATACTTTCATGCCAATCTTACCGCACTACAAACTGCGACATCGATGCAACAACTGAATAAAAGTATTCATCTTCAAATTACATTATAGAGTTACGTTGAAAACCCACAACTGAGCAGTAGACCAAAGAAGACGCGTCGCTATTATCTAGGTCAATCTGTTCAGTGGTCCGAAAGCAAATGTATAGTACTCGTTTCCGAATTTTGTTGTTCATTGTACAATCTTTTATTGATTAAACTCGGTATACTGACCATTAAAGCAATGACAAAGAAGAATACTTACGATGGTGTCATTGTTTTATTTAGCGTGCGGGTGTAAAAACAAAATTGAGTAATTAGTTTGATTTAGAACTTTCGTGTCACGCAAATAGCTACGCGAAATGCATAGTGGGAAAATATTGACCAATCAAATTTTGTCCTTTTTGAGTGCTTTTTCAGTGCATATTTGCGAACGTTCTGATTCAAAGAGCGAACTGCGAAAAGGAGAATTCTTTAAATAGTGACATAAAACAAAATGTCTTACTCTTCAGCAACATAAAACTGGTGTGCGGGTAGGATTTTAGTTGCAATAGGCTGGGCTAGATTGCTCTGCTGTTCTTTCATGCTGGTCTCAGCCTGAACTCGTTGCTCATTACCATGGAAGAAAATGGCCGACATGTATTGCCGACTGTGTGACTGTGTTGGATTGTGAGACTTCCAGAACTTTTCCAGGAGTTTTTCGTAACTTGTAACATCAGGATCAAAATCAATATCAACAGTTTCTGTGTGATCTCCCCTGAAAATAAATGAAATTTGCATTTGTACTTTGTAGTATGATTATATTTTTATTCAAGTTATATTTCTAAGTGACATTTCACTCCATAGTCATATTAATTCCTGGGGAAGGTACTTTTACCTTCATTTTACAACAGTTGCAGTATATTTTACTCAGCAGTACAGTGCATTTTTTTTTTATTCAATGTTAATCTGTATATAGGCATTTATATGAGGTGGAAATATGTACTTCGTTTAAGTTGGCATAAGGTAAAATATATTGTGTAATTAAACATTATATATTACGTGGGATTTAAAATGTAATAACTCAAACTCATGCCTATTAATTTTAATACTGTTTATAAAGAAATGACCTTAAAATAAAAATCATTTACAATGCTTCTGAACAGAATATGAAAAAGTTTACATTATTTTCTCATGTTGCCCTTTGTGCTTTCTTGACTATAAAAGGTTTGTCCCTATACTGTAGGCAGGTACATGAACAACCAATATACACTTACAAATTCCTGTAGGTGGGGAACTTTGTAGTTCCACCCGTATACCCTACACGAGTTCGGATCACCCCCGGGGCACAACCAAACTGTGCCTCGGGGAACCAAAATCAGCTGAGAGCAAATGTTGCCTTTTTTGTCTCAATATTTGGATCAAGTAGAGCCATTGTGTGTACCTTCTTTGAGTCGAGGGATTGTGAGGCTGAAAACAATAAAAACAAAAATGTATTTAATACATTCCTATTCAGTATAAATATTGTTTTACAACATAACAGTTATGATAGTATGTTTATACAGCATGCCAATAATCTAAATAGCACATTTCTATATTCGGTGCTTGCTAATACGGGCTTAATACATGTACATCTGAAAGGTGCAATTTCATTTCCACATGGATTTTGTTGATTGTGCTGAGGAAAAAGAGACCATAGGCCCTGGGAACATCGAGTCAAGATCAGTTTTAAGACTGTATTTCAAAATGTGCATTAAGAGCGCCCTATTACAGATCTCGACTAGATTATTTTCAAGAATGTTGCAGGGGCCTATGATGGAGACTGTTTTATTTTCGTATACAATACGGAGTGGCTCCAGGACCGACAATTGTCGGTACTGGAGACTGTCCTGGGGTATTTGCTGGGGTACCGACAATTGTCGGCACTCTATCGTCAACTAGTAGTGCCAGATAGAGAACCGACAATTGTCGGTACGCAAGTGGCTGCTACGTGTTTTTGCTAGAGAGCCGACAATTTCATAAATAAATCCACTACTTTTACGTTTAGAAATAACCACATCACTGGTAGTCTAGTGGTTAGCGAGCACGACTTGAACACATTCGGTCCCGAGTTCGAATCCCGGCAAGACCTACTTTTTTCTTTTGAGGGGGACATAGTGCTTCTTTTCCAGTATGGAATCGTACAGGCATTAACTTGTAGTGAGCCATAATTTATTTCGACAAAAATTGATTCAACTTCCATCAAAATTGTCCTACAAACTTCAATTAAAAAACATTTTAAAGCTCTTTTCTTGTTCTATCTAATGGGTCGATATATACAGTTAGGGGAGGGGATGCTTTCGCCCCCGTCGCTCTCTACCCTTACTACGCCATGGCACACAGGGGCGTAGCCAGCTTTCAGTCAGGGGGGGTGCGATCGCCGAAAATTTTTCAGTTTTCGGTCAGGGGGGTGCGATTTTGCCATAAGCAACACAAAAAATTAAGATTTCTTTTGAATTTTACAAAAATTGATGCAACTTCCTTCAAAATTGAGCTAGAAGCTTCAAATAAAAGCATTTTAAAGCTCTTTTCTACCTCTATCCAATGGTCATATTTTCAAAGGTAATGGGGGGTGCGATCGCACCCATCGCACCCCCCCTGGCTACGCCCATGGCACAAGAGAAATATCCCATTTGGAATATATCACTGTTTACTTTGCGTTTGGTAGCTCTCATGCGAGATGGAATCGTGGCCATTAACTAAGGGAGCCAAATGCAACTTCCATCAAAAATTGTGCTATAAGGTACTAGTACCAAATTCGAAAATTCATAACAATACTTTGCACATATGGCGTTCGTGACCAACTATGAAACGCTTACCCCCATAGTGTTATATATCAAAATGCACCTGTCCATATAGGGGTTCGATTGACCTACATCAAATTATAGGGAGTCAGGTTACTTTTTGAGATATCAGCGTCCGTTTATTGTAACTCGCGTTTGCTACCACTTCCTCAATTCTGATATGACGGGCAAACGCGTAGTAAACATGCTCACGTTCGGAACTATTTTGACCTACATCGCTATTTCCGTAATTCAAATGAAAGTTGAACTCCTCTTTATTTTGACACCAAATAGTGGCATACTAGGTACCCTAGAAGCCAACTATGGGTAATTATTTAGAACGATACCACAGGTTTTTAAATGGACTATATACCTTTTGGCGGATGGATATGGAACCTCATACCATAAGCTTCAAATAAAAAACATTCTAGCTATTTTCTTCTATCTAATGGCAAACGCCCCTTTCTACGCCTGATCGGCTCAGGAGAAATATCCTATCTGTTTAGAATATATATAGCCGTTTACTCTGCATTAATAGCTCTCTAACGTCTTACTTGTTCATGTTTTTTATTGGGCCTTTCAACGTTTTTACTACCATTCCCTGTTCCCGGGCTACCATTTTTTGACCTGGGTTTGGTAATCCCCGGGTAACCGGGGCTAATGCCCTCCCCGGGTTTTGCACTTGTTCCCAAAATATCCGTATGATATCTGAAATATCCCCCCGCGCATTGCGCATGCGCCAGAAAATTCGAAAATCAATATTTGTCGGTCCTCTAGCGTGTAAACACAGCATATCTCCCGTACCGACAATTTATTTGTCGGTCCTCTAGCGTGCCACCACATCAGAGTCTAGAGTACCGACAATTGTCGGTACTCTAGCCTTAACGTATACAATAATGCAACCCTTGGAAAAAGACAAGTGACGCCCCTGATATGTATGCACATACGGTACGCTGAGACAAAGTAAATATAACTGACTATGGAAATGATTGTCTTGCAAATTGATCTTTCTTGCAAGAGAAACCTCCTGTGGGCAAAATGTTTATTGCAATATTCCAAATATTTGAATTTACTTTTTTAGATTGATTAAAAATGTCATTACATCTACCCCTATCTAGCAAAATATAGACTAGAAATGTAAAGAAAAAATTTATAAATACGATCACATACATTGTCTGCTCACAGCTGTCCCTATATTTGACCAAAGTCTCGAAAAGGCAGAGGTTTTAAAATGTTGTATAACTTTGGACATCCGGGTATCGTAAATGAACTGATAAGACATAGTGTCGTAAAATTGATAATTGACTCATTAGAATAACTAAAATGTATCATTTTCTTGGACAATCACATTGCAATATACACCATGATATACTGGAAAAGTACTGAATCTGCTACTAAAATAAAAATAATTAGTATTAATTATCAAGATGTCGTAAAATTATGATTTATCGATAGTCAGTCGCAAGAGGAGGTCAAAAAATTTATGAAAATTTGGAATTCATTTCAATATTTCTGACATTTAGAGGTTTAATCAAGCAAAATTGAAGTGTTTGAAACGTGTTCACAAGACTGGAGTATGTAATAGGCATAGTAATATGGAATAATAATCGATATGCAGCCGGGAATCGGGGTATTTGGAACTGGAACAACAATTCGATGTTTGGTCCCAATTTTCAAAAGTTGTGGATTCAAAGTTGAGGCATTATGGGGACGCACCAAGGAGTTAGCAGATGACGTAGCTCGAGATTTATCCATTCCCTTTAGTACAAATAAAGTGGATGAGGTACTTTTACATAAAGAGGTTGATTTGGTGTTCATTGCTTGTCCGCCTCATTTACAATCGCCCGTTGCTGTTAAAGCGTTAGGAATAGGCAAACATGTCATATGTGCCCCGCCCGCTGGTCCAGAACAGCTTGATGCATTCAAAATGGTTAATGCAGCAAGGTACTATCCTTCACTAATGTCAATTATGTGTCATGGATTACGTTTTGTACCAGCATTTACAAAAATGAAGAACTTGTTGGATGATGGGTATATTGGGGATTTATATTTGATTGAAGCTAGAGTTCACAGTGGAAGTCTCCTAAAGGAGAAATATGACTGGACGTGCGATGATCTTATGGGCGGAGGAGTACTGAATATCCATGGCAGTGGCATTATTGATGTCATCACATTCCTAACCAATCAGACTGCAACTCGGGTACATGGCATGCTGCGTACGTTCACCAAGCAAACTGATAAAATCTGTGGAATTCGACAAATAACCAGTGATGATTATTGTACATTCCAAATGGAGTTAAATCGTGGGGCGGCAGCCACGGTCACACTTAACAACCATGTTCCGGGACAGTATAGTCATGAAATCCTGGTTTGTGGAAGTAAGGGACGTCTCATAGCACGCGGAGCAGATTTGTATGGACAAAAATCTGACTCATTGAAAGAAGAGTTAATACATAAGGATGTATTGAATATTCTGGACGAACAAAAATCTGGAGTCTCTGAAAGCATTCGAGCGGATCTTCCGACTCCTTACCTCAAAGGCATGATCAAGTTAATTGACTCTGTGAAGGACGCATTTAAACTTGTTGAAGATAAGCATGGTTGGTCACGTGATCCAGTTTGCATCAGTGCAACATTTGAAGATGGCCTTTATGTGCAAGCCGTAGTTGATGCAGTAAGGAAATCCACAAAAAGTCACGAGTGGGAAAAAATCAGACTTATGACTGAGGAACCTGACCCAAATCCTAATCTATCAGCCGCAATTCGACGGAGTACTTTTTCTCTATATTATTCATAAAGAAATGTAATTATTTATTCAATGTACATGTGTGGTTGGTTGAAATTGCATGCATTCCTTCACTTTAATGTTAATTCCATACTGCAATTATCATTTTGATTATAAACATCAGGTTGTCTGTACATATCTAAGCAGCAATTTAAGGTGCAGTAAGCCTAATTTTGGTGCCCAATTTAATTTGGCAGTTCTCAAATTTTACTGCATGAGAATGTGATTATCATTAAACTACTTTTACTCAAATCTCACAAAAATATGCCGAATTTTAGAAAATGGTGAAAATGCCAAATTAATTCACTTGACAGTTTACAGTAAAACTATCTTTTTAGAAAAGTTATGTACAGGGTGAGCCAAAAAAGGTAACACAAACAAATGTTGATAACTCAAAGGTTATGTTTGGCACAATTAAACCTTGTTTTCTTTGATTCTACCAAGATTCATTGGTTTATTCCAAATGGTCGTGATTTTATGGCCATTTTACAAAACATGCTCAAAATGTTGGTCTAAACTTTAAATGCTTCTATGGTTGTTAGTTTAGACATTATCTTTGAAATAGCTCCAAAGATACAATTCTGGCAAGTCATATTGGATGATTTTGGCATATTTCAGCATTTGGAGCTTATTTTGTAAAATGGCCATGTTGGATAACTGAGTTATTAACATTTGTTACTTTTTTGGCCCACCCTGTAATATCATACAACATTGCTAGGTTTAATTTAACTGACGATAAAAATATACAATTTGAACCTTTAACATGTAACCTGAACATCGAATAGGCAGTGAACAAACTGTTTTATGATAATTGTAATATCTCTCATATATTGAACATTGTTAGGTTATACATACGAGTATATATATATACATGTATATATATAGTTGTGGTATTTGCATGCAGATGTTGTTTCATGTACATGTACATATCAATTAAGTACTTCATGTTAGATTGTGGTATTTGTAAAGGATATCCTTTGATTTTTGAGGGATATCATTATTATCCATTGGTGGATATCATCCATCTCTGCAAGTAATGGGCTTTATCAATAAGTGAAACAATTTTTGACATGATGTTTATCCTGTGGAATCATCAGATACTAGCGGATACAATTTTTGACAGAGCTTATATCAAAAAGATCTTGAGTTGTGACACCCACCTCATATATATTTAGTATCTATAGGATAAACAAGATAGAAACGTTATCCTCTAGCAACTATTTGTGTAATTTTTTTTAAACCTATTAGATTTTCTGTATCCATGGAAATTTTGCGAAATTTGATTAAACAATTTTGCTGAACATCAACAATCCTTCTTTTACTTTGTATTCCTTCAATGATGATGACAGATCATTTATTTGAATTTCTCGATGATTTGCTTTTTTATCATTTTTCACAATAGCTGATGCTTCCTATTTTAGAAATTCAAAATTAGGGACCAAATCGACAGTTTTTTTCATTGGTATGTTAAATAAACCATCAAATGTCTTTTTACAAAGATATTTCTTATCTTTATACTGTATAACACATTTAGAAATATTTAAAAATAATGGGCATGTCAACTGCATTGAGGAGTTGATTTCAAAAATAGTTTTACCCATAACAGAAATATTATGACATACATGTAGGGTGTTCATTAGTCTTGCGTCCAGCCCTTATAACCCTCTACATACATTACCTCTGAAATGGAAGTAAAATAGGATCCTGATACATGTACATTGATACAAGACTAACTCTGTTTTGTATTTTACTATTTCTGTAAAAATAGGTACATTTTGTACTATCAAACAAATAATTCTGAAGATTTTTTGCCTTTTACTCCAATTGTATGTCTCTTGACAATTTTAAGTAAGAACAAATGTATTTTTGCAAAACTGAAAAGTCTACTATGTCTACAACATAATGTACTTTTACATTTTGATACAGTCTTATTTGTTTAATATATACTGGTGGTACAGTGTAGGAAATAGCCATTTTTGTCCTTTTTGCAAATTTTCCACACACTTTGAAATATCATGCTTCATAACAGTGTGCCTCCTCTAATATTAGAAGTATTACTTTTAACATAGCAGGGTTTTAGACAGGTATGAATTAGCAATTGAGATACATGCGGGTCCTCAGTGCAAATCTTCAATGAAAATTAAAGTATGTAAAGACATCAAAAAGCTAAGACAGGAGAAGGTGTGGTTTTCATATCATACTCCAATTTTGTATTGATATTTATCAAATCTTCACTCCAGCTTAGAGTCTCATTGCCTTGTTCAACATACAGTGGCATTAGTTGTCTCAATTGCTTCATTACATTTATCAACAGGTTTATGGTATGTGAACACTTCATTGTACACTGTAAAGGCAGATACTGTACTTCAACTTAATTTGGTGCAACTTATTTTTGTGGATTTGCTGTTTTGAACATTTGGCGATCACTTAATTTGGCGGACTTGCAATATTGAAAGGTATATACCATACAAATTTACTATATTGAATTTGGTGGCTAATTATTTGGCAGACTTTAACAATTTGGCAGATCCGCCAAATTAAAATGGTCGCCAAATAAGTAGAAGTACAGTAAGTAGGACATGGAGATGTGAATAGTTATTGTCCTTCCTACTTGACATTCATAGAAATTCCTCACAATAACTGCATGTTTGTCGTTGGTTTTTCCTTATCTTTTATTCTATATTAACATGGTGGTATATCTGATAAAAAGGTATTCAAAGTTGATTTTTTTGTTCAAAAAAGAGAGTTTTTTTGGTTTTTGGCACACCTATATTTGTAACTCAAGAACCCTCCTCCCCCTCTTTGCTCCCATCCCAGATACATTAGTACTATTCTAGTATATACATGTACTGCATATACCCCAATTGTAGTAATTATGTGCAAAATCAAACAGTTTTACAACATGCTGGTACAGTTCAAAATCCATAAATTTCACAGTCTGTTTATTTACATCTGTATCACATATTGCTCAATTGGATCAAAATATGATTTTATCAGTGTGCAAATATGCAATATATACTTGACTCATATATCTATTGATAGTAGATGATAGTAAAGAAGGTACTCATATCCAAGAGTTCCTTGGTGGCTCATGTGAAACAGTTATTCAGGCCCGTAGCCAGGATTTGCCAAGGGGGGTTCACTTTTTGAAAAATTCCAGGGGGGGTTCACTTGTGACAATTTTGGTCCTATGTGCTCAGAATGGTAAAAACTGCATGATTTCGAAAGATTGTTTTGGCCGGGGGGGGGGGGGGGGTTCGATGGGTTTGAGCATCCCTAGCCCCTCCCCCCTTCCCTGGCTACTGGCCTGGTTACTTATCAAATAATTCTTCTCCATGTATGTTGAGAGTTGTGGAGATATACTGTAAGGTTAAAGGAGGGGGAGGGGCATGAAGGAACATACATTTCACAATTGTTTTTATGTTGTTTTTTGAATATTTGTTCAGTATAGTATAGTTGTTTACAGAATTGAGGTTTAGAAAGTGACATTTTCGAATTCATAAGATAAACCCCAAGGCATCATGGGAAAGGGACTCCTTTTTTAGTTTTATTTACTTTTATCTAAAGTGTTAATGTATATTGATAACCTTGATGAAGACTGCATGTTAGGTCAACTGCTAATTTGTATCACTTGAAATTAAATGTTACAGTTCTTACATCAAATCTTTGCACCACATAACCTAGTTGTGAAGAGGGGGGGGGGGTATGGGAGATGCTCCTCACTTTCAAAGGTGTGATTTTTCTGTACTTTAATTGTTGAAGAGATCAGTCTCTTGAATGGCTGCAAAGAAAAGTTCAGTGATCTGCAGGGAAATTTTTATCATTCTATGTGATATAGAAATCCATGACACTAAAGTTTCTCAGCATGTTTATATAGATTGTTATGATAATGACCATTATCACATCAGAAAGTAATATCATCATATGATAAATCACATTATCCTACACTTAGTGTACCAAATGTATAATAACATGAAAAAATAAATTTGATATTTATTGGCAAAATGAATATCCGGAGGATATTGTAACGATATACTCCGGGCGGAGGATATCGTGACGATATACTCCGGAAAACCCAATATGCGGAGGATATTGTGACGATATACTCCGCTTGTTGATTTCCCGCCAAATGGACTCTATTTGGCATGAAATTCATTTTACAATGATATTATACATTCAGTACACTCCTTGTAAGTGTAGGATAATAAGAACATCCTATAATGATTTGATATGATAAATAATATGATCATATGACATATTATTTTCATATGACACACAAGTGTGACACTGTAAAAGTAAATTAAACATCGAAGGTCATTTGTTGGCCATTAACTGAAAAATGACCACCGGTTGCCTGTGATGCATTTGATTGTGAAATCCAATACGAGTATATTTTTGCAACCACCATTATGTGTTCTGTCTCTATAACTGAGATGTTTTCTTTCGAGCGTGATATTGTCATGGTCAGGGCCAGAAAAGCAAGCATATATTTGGGGAATCAAGTGTAAAGTTGTCAGCTGTTGTTTTGTAGTTTTATTCGTATTAGATTGATTGATGTTTTGTGGACTAACTCAACATCATTGTTCAATTGGGTTTCATATGCCATTATGGTATGATAATGGCATATGAATGGTGTGACGATCATATCATATGGTATCACTATGATTTTGTGTGGTATGATTGTGATATCATATGTTATGATTGTGATATCATATGGTGTGACTCTGATATCATAGAACTATATGATATGATGTGGGTATGTTTATGATATGATGAGGGCATGTTTATGATATGATAGGGGCATGTTTATGATATGATAGGGGCATGTTTATGATATAATGAGGGCATGTTTCTTGATATAGATGATATAATATATTAATGTGATTTCTTTGAAGTGGTGAATATGTATTTGTACTGTATCTAGTATGTATACATATACATGTACATGTATTTAAATGACACAATATATAAAATAAGTAGGAAACATTTATTTTGGTTCTGTTTGTGGTAGTATCTGTAAAGTTAGAAATAATATTCTATAATGATATATGTTCAGCTCTTCTATGAGCTTCTGTTTAAAACTACTTCTTAAAAGGACTTGAAGGAATGAGATATACGACGAGTGGAGAATTACATGTATGTTCGAAAGATATAACATTC